AATTGACATACCTTTCTTTTCTTTGGAAAAGACTCATTAAGCATCCTATTCTCCACTCCTTCCCAGCCCCTGACTATGCTTAGCCCAATGCTGAAACCCAGGGACTGATGGCTGCGATTCTGTTAAGCATGCTCCCTTCCACAAGCTTCCTGTGGGAACAGAGCCTTTCCCCAGCGGACAGACTCGGAGGGTAGCCATCCTGGCTGAAGCTCGCCTCTTTACTGGTGGATACACTTGAAATACTACCTGCAGACCTTTACGGCTACTTTTGCCTATGCCGACATGTTGTTCTCCATGGAAGGGGACTGGACAATAAAAAGTCTCTAAACCTCTAAAACAGTCTTCCCTATCTGCCAATGGCTACTTTTCCTAATAAAATAATCCATTAGAAATCCTCACAGTGTCATGCTCAGCTTCCCTTTTAAACATCTGTTTCAAGAGGTCCCTTAAATGACAGCGCCTTTCTCTCTCCCTGCCCTTGGTGAGCTGTGTTGGTGAGGAGCTGAGGCAGCTCCGCCCTCTGGAAATGGGGGTGGGGAGGGCTATGAAGGAAAAGGGCAGCACAAGACTCAAGTCAAGCAGGGCTCCTGACTTTTCCCCCTTTCATTATTTATGTGTGTCCACTGAGCTGTCCTGTTTCTGTTTTGTAATGGGTTCTTCCTGTGGCAAGCTGACCTTTTGGCTGAATAGGTCAAACTCCCACTGAGCGCTAATCCTCAGCCTTCCTGGCTTTTGTGCCTCCCCAAAGGTGACAGCACTGGTTAGGAGTATGACTGGGGGGAGGGGGGGTGGAGTCTGTTTCCCAAAAGGGGGGTTGTCTTTCACTGCCCTGAATTAATTCTCAAAGACTGCCTCACAAGGCTATGCAGAAGAGTCCAGTCCTAACTATTCAGAAGGGTCTAGTCCTAACTATGCAGAAGGGTCTAGTCCTAACTATGCAGAAGGGTCTAGTCCTAACTATGCAGAAGAGTCTAGATTGTGGCCAACATTGTTGAGGGACAAAACTAATTTTTCACATACATGTTTAGGTGTGATTTCCTTCCGTGGCTTCCACTTTTTCTGTGGGAGAAAGGCCAAGGCACTGCCCTCATGATTCATCAGATCATTTGAGATTTCTGAGACAGCTGCGTTTCTTTAGTTGATTTTTAAGAATCCTTCCTTTTATATATCTCTTCTATTTAAAATATTCTAAACCTCTAGGTGTTTTCTTTTTAACAGTCACAAAACATGAAATAATAATATTGTGGTATTTGTTGATAATGATATGCTGGGCCCGGGTTTCTTTTATATGGCTTAAAATTTTCTTTTGGGCTATTTTCTTTTTTATAATAAATAACACTAACTAGCAATTTTAAATATCAGCTGGGTACTCAGTAAATGCTGAATTGAGTTTGAAGTTGAATTACTATATGACTATGGTTTGATTGTTTTTTCTTTTAATAGTTTGTATAAGCTGTTCAACTTCTGAAGCTCTCTCAGCTCACTATCAGTAGGTAGAGACATAATCTTCACAGACAGGCGGTTACATATTCCATTTACTTAGCAATGCCCTGTGTATGTTCTTGTTGGTTAATTTAGTTAGAGTCCTTTACATTTCAAGAAATAGTACTTTTAATTGGACAAACAAATAAATGAAATGTATCATTCGGTCAGAGGGAACAGTGACCTATTCAGCAGGCATAAATGTGCATTCTGTTTGGACTAGCAAATGGTTTCAGTAACTGTGAACTTCCAGAACCCAGGGACCTGAGAGAGCGTCATAGGCCATGTGTTCCTTTTCTGAGGATGATGGACCCGCTAAGGAAAATATCTCTTTAGTTTTATTTATTCGTTAATGGTACTACAGAGCCACGATGATAGTAACTTGGGGAAACAAAATAGCTTTATTTTCATCCTTTCTGAGTTGTCAGATTATTGTCTTGATCTCAAAAAGCTAAATGCGTTAGGATAAAAAATACAAGATAAGAAGTACATTTTTAATATCTAGTCAGTTAACCAATAATGCTGGAGTCAGACCTGGTCTTCTACCAGGGACATAATGGGCTCCTGTTTAACATATTTATGTTGGTTGTAAAATTAGAAACTGTCATTACAGCCCCACATCACCTGCATAAGTGCAAAACATATAAATCACGAGAAATTCCAGTGCCATAAAAATGCCATTGACTAGAATAGCATGAAACCATTTATAAGATACCTGTGTATCAAGCTGGCATGTACTGGGATGCACACTCAGATTTCTAGAGGATTTGAAAAACAAAGAGGAATAACTATGCAGGTTGGACTCATGGATGTAAGACCTGAGGAAGACATTTGGGATCCCCAGTTGACTACATTTTCTTTTTTATTTTTTTTGATTTTTTTTTTAATTTTATTATTTATTACATTTGCAGCATTTACTTACAGAACAGCCTGAGTCCTATGCGGGGGGAAAAGGAAGGAAAAGAAAGGCCATTAGTGGGCGGGTGTGCATAACCCCTGCAGCACCACTGAGGTCAGCTGTGCTTCGGAAGTGAGCACAGCTGCCCTCTGTCACTTCTGGGACATGCCTCTTGGGCAGCTAGGAAATTTGCACACTCCTTACGCTGCCTGTGATGTGTTAGCGTCTTCTATAGGTTGTGACTGTTGCTCTCCTGGTTGCCTCTTAATCCAGTTCTTTGTAGAAAAGTCTGTCTCTAAAATCAGTCCATTTTCTTTTGTGAGGTGCAATGGTTTATTTTGAATTTTGTAATTGGAAGTCCTAAAATGCTCCTAAATTATGAACTATTAATATGGAGCTTTTTGGATTCCAATTACTGCCTCAAAAACAGAGTGGACACTTTTGAAGTTTTTCAACTCCCCCCTCTCCCTGTTATTTCCTCCCCCCAAAATCTTTAAAAAAAGAAAAGACTGCAGATTTTATTCATGTGGGATCATTCACACCAAGCTACCATAATGTGCAATTAACACTCTAGAAACTGAAAACAGTATTCAGCAAGACAGCTGCATTATCAAAGATGCCAAAGGAGTTTTGAAGGGAGTAATGTGCGTGTTAGAATAGGAAATTAATCAGAAACACACACACACACACACACACACATGCACAGAAGTGATGTATTAAGTATATCTGAATATTTAAATTTTAAAAATCTTGTGTCTTGCTTGTGTCTATACTAATAAAAATTAACCTTAGGGTAGGAACCTGATCTTTCTGTTTTAAGATGATTAGTTGTGTGTTTTCCTGAAGCAAATGAGGAAGTCGAAATAGAGATCTCTAAGATCCCTGCCAGCTGGAATATTCTCAGATAATAATCACTCTTCAATTATATTTTATAAATTTTGCCATTGAAACAAAATGCCTCTTTTACTTCTTCTTGCTAGTAATACTGATACTGAAACACTCATGCAGTTTTCAAAGTGTCTTTCAGACCCTGACTCACACTTGCAGGGGTAAACTGCCTGCTTTTGCACAGCACAATAATCACAAGCACATTTATATTATAATTCCTACTAAGCTATGGATGCAACTGACTGACTTAGTAACTGAAACTAAGCACAATTATGCCAGGAGCATTTTGCTGAAAATTTTTTGTAACTAGCTGGAAGTGGGTTTTAGAAGAAAGTGGAGTGGGGGTGGTATTGTATTTTCAATTTATAGCATCTAAATTTGAGGGAGCAGAGGTTTGTCTAAAATTTTCAAGAAAAGAGGGAAGACATGGGGAATTTACTTGTTGGAAATAAGGAGAAGATCAGAATTTTTTCCATAAATTACTGTAAACCACAAAGATTTTTATGCTTGAAAAATTATAAAAGACTAGAGACGCCCGATGCACGAAGATTCGTGCAAGAATGGGCCTTCCTTCCCCTGGCTGCCGGCACCGCCTTTGCTCTGGCCGGAGCCGCCTTTCCGCCTTCCCACGCGGCCCAGAAACCCAGAGCAGCTGGGGCAGTGCTTAATGCCCCCAGCCCCCAGCAGCTGGGCACCTGTGCATACAAATTAACCTGCCAGCTTTGTTGGGTTAATTTGCATACTCACTGCTGATTGGCTGATAAGCATTGTGAAAGTATGGTTAATTTGCATCTTTATATTTTATTAGTGTAAATACGGATACCCAGAACAGATGTAAAGTCAAATTGTGTGACCATACAAAAAATTATGTATAGAGAAAACCCTCAATTGTGGATCCCACAGAAGCCTGGCAGCAAGCTCAGTTTTGTTAAGGATAGGGGGCTCTTTGAGTGCAGGTGCCTGTGGACAACACATGTGGGGTGCGCCAGGAAGAGCAGGACTGACCATGTGAGTGGAGAACTGGAGTATTCCCATAAGAGCACAGTCCCTGTGCTGGTAGGACACATGCTGAGTGCAAGGCCACCTGTGCTTCTCCAAGATTCTGTAGGAATAGTTGCATGTGAATGTGCAGTAAACAGAAAAATCCAGCCACCCCGAGACCCTTAACACTAGTGTAAACAGTCATTAATGAGAGTCTCTTCTCCAACATGTTGCATTTATTAAATTATGATAAAGTTGTTGCATTAGAGCATTTTAAAAAATCCTGCTTTTTTTTTTCTAGCCTAGAGAATATAAAAAGTTTAGGTTTTATTTGGGGGGGGGGCAGTATGTGTGTACTTTAAAAATACCTAAATTTTAAGAAAAAAAAGTACTAAAAAGTACTAATTTATCTTAATGGAATGTGAGCATTCATGTTTTTGCTTCAATATAGGGAAAACAGTCCAAAGTAATTTTTTTTTAAAAAAAGTCTGGGTGTGGTTTGTTGTTGTCTGACTTGGAAACTCAACCTTGGTTCTGCTTATGCTCAGGCAACTCGGGGCCAAGTTAGCATTGGGCTGTGTTTCTCTGAGATGTCATTGTTATAGTAACTAGTGACGTAATTAAAGAAAATTAAGTTGAAGGTATGAATCTGAGCTCCAACTTAATTATTTTCTTTCTTTTCTTCCTTTCTGTTTCTTTTACCCTCCTTTTCTTTTCTTTTTTTCTTTCCTTTTTTTTCTCTAAGTTATAGGTGCACAACGAAGGAGAAGCCCCAGTGCACTGGCCATTGAAGTATTTGAAGCACATTTGGGAAGTCACATTTTGCAGGTACCTCTAAGACAAAAAGAAGCTTGCTTATATTTTACTAAGAAAATTCCATATGATTAGTCTTTTATTAATTTTTTTTAAAATTTCAACTATGTATGTGGCTGGATGTTGGAATTCTGAAATTCTTATGAGTCCATTTTCTTTTCTTTTTAGAAAGCCATCCCTTGAGAGAATATTAATGAGAAAGGGAGGGCAAGTATTATTTGTAATAATTGAGATGAATTGCGCTATTTGGTTGATGCTCAATGTATAGTAGCTGGCTGTTCTCAGAATGGTAGTGTGTGTGCTGCATTTGTAAGTGGATATATGTATGTGTCTTTGGAGCTGTATATTGTCCTAGACAGAGCAAACTTTTGTGAAAGCAATGTGACTTTTTTATGTGTTGCCAAATTTCAGTTGTTTTTTGCTTGAGTTTGCATTCATAAGTGCTTCAAATCTTAATGTCTGTCTCTCCCCCAAATTACACACTTTCTCAGGGTGAAATCTTAAAGCATATTTTAAGTGAAAGGAGACAAACAATGATAATAATTTAATTTTGGTAATGAATTTCATGGCAGGTAAATGTGAGGGTGACTGGATGGACCTGCAGTTAGATATTTATCTGAGAGCAGTTTCATGCCAAACTCAGCATCTCAACTTATTTCCTCAAGACTTTGCCATCAACTCAACACATCCATGAGTACTTGTTCTGCACTGTTTCTGCCTCCAACGTTGATGTTTCCATAGCCAAAGCTTTCTTTAACTACACAAGATACATTTTGAACATGGAATTAGAGAAGCAAATACATTTGGGATATTTAGGCAACTTATTTGGGGCGGAGGGGATGGTTATGGTCTACTTTTTTAATTAAAAAAGAAAAGTAAACTCCAAATACCTATTCATTCAGAGTTAAACACATGACTTCTGTGGTGATTTTATTTTGTAGAGAGCCAAAAATAGTCTTGAATTTAGCATATGATTCCCGAAAGCATGTTCTCTAGAAAACTGTCTCCAGCAGATTCTCCATGACTTAATCCTAGTGGGTCTTCAAAGTGGTTCCGTGGGCAGTAGCCTCAGCATCACCCGAGACACTTGTTCAAAGGACACATTCCTGGGCTTCCCTCTGAACCCACCAAATCAGAATCTTCAGGGTGAAGTCCAGTGATTTGTGATTTTTAACAACCTTTTGAGAAAATGTGATGTTTTATTAGGACTGAGATGTCACAGTTTACATTTCCAAATTTAAGGACCTAAAAAAGACTTACCTTGTTTATTTTTGTTTATTCTGATGTTTCTCATTTATCCACTAATACATCTTAAAATCCATGTAACAGATGTGTCTTAAAATACACCTTAGGAGATGCTATTCTATCATGCGTATAAATTTTGAATTGCCTTTGCAGTAGATTAGTCTCAGGGCTATAGCAAGGAATTTGCTTTCCAGATCTTCAGATTTTTGTCTCTCTCTTTCCTGTACACACTTTGTTCAGAATTTCCTTTATAAGTTTTACATAAGCCATGGTATAATATACATGTATTATAATGTGATTCAGGATGACTCCTATTTACATTCTAAAGTGATCAGTGCATTGACTTAGTCAATGAAAGAAAAGGTTCAAAGAGCAGCTCCAGATTATTACCCTCTGAATTCATTCTAGAACTCGAGTCCTAGGCTTCATTGAGAGACTAGAGAGTCTAGAATGAAGCTGCTGAGCTCTTCTGCTGGTTTACCTTGGTCACACCTGACACAGACAACCCATTTTAAGACAAACATAGGCAGCCAGATGTTGCTTAGAGTGAAATAACCAGGCTAGTTAGTAAACTAGAAATCATGTTACATGAGGAGCGGCAAAGGGCTTGGTGAGGTTTAGTTTGGAAAACACTTAGCTTAAATGGGATATTAACGTCCTCTGTATTTGAAAGCCTCCTCTGAAAACAGAAATGTATATATTCCGTGTGGCATCAGAGTGTGGGAAAGAGAAATGGGTAAAAATTGGAGCGAGAAAAAATCATTTCATTTGAAAAGACTTGCAAATAGTGTTGTCCACATTTGGAATATGTTCAAAGCCTTTGAATTTAAGAAGTATAGGTGGCTTGATAGGGAGCTTTCACAATAGTGAGGCATCCAAGCATGGTTGCACTAGATCAGTGATGGAGAACCTTTTGAGCTCGGTGTGTCGGCATTTTGAAAAACCCTAACTTAACTCTGGTGCCGTGTCACATATAGAAATTTTTTGATATTTACAACCATAGTAAAACAAAGATTTATATATTTTTAAATATATGTTAATGATTTAAATGCCATTTAACAAAGAAAAATCAACCAAAAAAATGAGTTTGCCCCAGGCAGGTGCCCTAACCGGAATTGAGCCCGGGACCCTTAAGTCCACAGGCCAATGCTCTATCCACTGAGCCAAACCAGCTGGGGCAAGATTTATATTTTTGATATTTATTTTATATATTTAAATGCCATTTAACAAAAAAAAAAATCAACCAAAAAAATGAGTTCATGTCACCTCTGACATGCGTGTCATAGGTTCGCCATCACTGCACTAGATGATCCTGTAAGTATAATATAATTTCCATATTTTCCTTCAGGAGGGTCCATGTTTGAGTCTGGTTGAGTCTTTCTTCCTTTTATGCTATTCTTTCTTCACTTGCAAATATCGGATAAAACCCATGTGGTCAACGTGGTTTCTAACCTCACAGTCTACCATCATTACTAAATAATATATATATAATACTTGGTGAGAATACAGAATTCACTGTAGTAGGCACGTGGCTGCTTGCTGTGTGGAACTAGCTTGCAATCCTTTGGTAAAAGATGAGCCAGTAGGTCTCATAAATTGAGAAGCATCACACTGGTCAAGTACTAAGAGGCTACAAAGCTGGTAGGCTCTGAGTTTGCCACAAACCATCAAAGAAGACTTCTCAAAGTTGTTCTTTAGGTAGAGAACATTGAAGAAGACTCTAATCAAAGTAGATGTCAAACACAAAGGCATGGGGACAGCAAATAGTAGATCTTGTTTGGGAATTGTTGGTGTTTCAATTGATGGCTGCTTCACATGCACAGGGGAGCACCTAAGAGATAAAGAAAGAGAAGCTATCTGAGCCATATAAGACAGGCCTAGTGAACTAAGCCAGGATGCTCTACCCATTGATGAGCTCATGAAGAAAGCTTTTGTACAAGAGATAAGGATTTGGTTTATATCCAGAGTTATCAAAATATGGTATCTAGAAAGTCTTTGAGTTGTGAGAGGCTAATACAGAAACCATTTAGGAAATTATTATAATAGTCCAAGATTCCAAATGAAGATTTTCTCCAAGATAGAGAATCTATGAATGGAGTCAGGTATGGAATTGAGATTGAATTATTAGATGTGAAAGGCTAGGGGATGACAGGAATTAATGACCACAGGTTTTCTAGATTGGTAACAGCTGTCTATACCCTTATCTGAGAAGACTCAAATGAGATATTATCTTAAATAGCCACTTGATAAATGTAAGCAGTTGGAAACCTAGTCTGATTCTCACGAGATAAAGTCTAGGACTGAAAAGAGGGCTGGGAATTACTAATCACTATCATACTAGTAGGGATGAATGAGAGTTCAAATCAAGCAGTGAGTTGTAGACCCATGGAAGTAATGTGGAGCAATGAGAGAAGACAGTTGAGGAGAGGCAACCCCAGTGTATATCATCACTTAAGATGCAAGTAGAAGATGAGGAAAGAGTAGACAAAAAGGTAAGAGGAAACCATGGGATTTTACTTTGCTTAAGGAAGGAGTATTAATAATGACAAGGTGGTTAAGGCTAAATCTTTTTGTAAGATACATACTGAAGAGATGTCATAGGTTTTGTCCATTGAAATAGTTATAATGGAAGTTGTTAGGTGCAGAAGACAAACCTAAAGAGTGACAAAACATACAGATGTCTGGAGTTTGTGGTAAAAGAAGGGTGGGAGATAAGAAAACAGTGTGAAGGGAAATTTGTGTTTTTAATGTTGTTAGAGTATATGTCTGAGGTTCATGGGATCAATCATTACCAATTGTATGCTCTTTAGCAATCAGCTTTCCAAAAATCAATATCTTGTGGTCATGTCTATATTAAGAAAGGATAAGCTTTCAATATTATTAATGGTTATATACCATTCCATTCCATAATTTATTTAACCACTTTCCTATCATTAAATATTTTGATCATATGTATAAATTTGCATATTTTTCTTGTGTGTGTTTATTTAAATTCTCTTTTTTATTAAATTTACTGGGGTGACATTGGTTAATAAGATCATCTAGATTTCAAGAATAAATTTGCATTTCTTTTTAAAAAATATATTTTATTGATATTTTACAGAGAGTAAGGGAGAGAGAGAGAAACAGCGATCAGCTAGCTGCCTCCTGCACACCTCCTACTGGGAATGTGCCCACAACCAAGGTACATGCCCTTGACCGGAATCGAACCTGGGACCTTTCAGTCCACAGGCTGACGCTCTTATCAACTGAGCCAAACTGGTTAGGGCAGTGGTTCTCAACCTTCTGGCCCTTTAAATACAGTTCCTCATGTTGTGACCCAACCATAAAATTATTTTTGTTGCTACTTCATAACTGTAATGTTGCTACTGTTATGAATCCTAATGTAAATATCTGATATGCAGGATGGTCTTAGGCGACCCCTGTGAAAGGGTCATTCGACCACCAAAGGGGTCGAGACGCATAGGTTGAGAACCGCTGATTTAGGACTAAATTTGCATCTCTAATGCAAATACCTAGTGAGGGTGAACTTCTGTGTGTGTGTGTGTGTGTGTGTGTGTGTTGTGTGTTGTGTGTTGTGTGTTTGTGGGTGGGTGCGACCCCAATTAGAAAGAGTCTATTTTGGGTTGATTTTAGCAAAATCTATTGACTTTTTAGTATGTGTGATATTTTATATATTGTTTAAGTTCTCCTCTTATATCATTAAATGCTAACAATAGGTAGCTATGAGATAGGTGCTATGATTGTACACATCTTAAAACGGAAGTCAA